TGCCAAGTTCTTGCAAACATGAACCAAACACCTTGTCACTGTAGATCTGTAGTCCAAGAGAGCCTGAAAGATACTTGTCCTTGAGATGTGGGGACTTGTGGCAGACCTGGCCAATAATGTTGACCCAGGATTAACAAACCCCTCCCACTAGGGGGGGTGTTCCCTCCAAAAGTGATGAATCCCCCACTAAAAGGGGGCTTCCCCCCAATCCATCGGGGGTTTTATTAGTCCGGGGCTGGCATGAGTCTTCCGAGTGGAGCTTGCGCGACGTAAGGACCTGGGCAGCGCTGTCCGTCTGGCCGCAGGTGTGGCAGTGGCAGCTGGCGGGGCAGATGGCGGGGCTTCAGAGCTATGTGGCCCACTTGCCCCACTAGGCCTCGGTCTTCGGCTGGGCGGGGCTGGGGGAGGGGTGAGGGGGCCCGTGCCTGAGTGTTTGGCTGCCACGTAAAGATGCTCAGGTGTTGCAAGCCCTTCATGCATTCCTAGTAGCAGGCATCTGCTGTTAAGCCAAGGCCCATCATGCCTGGATTGAACAATGAGTAGGTCTCAAGGAGTTTACCTCCTTGCCCAGTCAGTGGGCTCGCGCACGTGGATGGTGCCATTTTGTTGCTTGCGGATCTGATCTTTGATGGCTCGCAGGTCCCGCTCCTTGATTTAGCTGGCTGTTCATAGGCAGAATTCACCGAAAGGCAGCAAGGCACATGACAGTAACCTGCAGCACGTGCAGAAACTCACCCACAGCGCTTTGGGCTATGTGGGTTTCATTTGGCAGCAATTATCACCTGCCCCGAATTTTGATTGGTCAATGGTCCATGTGTGAAGTTTTGGATTCAATCCTTCGATGCAAGTACCCACCGCGCAATAAGGAAGTCAGGGCACGCGAGCACCGCGCACCTCTGAGGAGCTTAATCCTGCGCCGTTCCAGCAGTGCAAGCGGTTTTGGAGCCACAAATCGCATGTTTTCCCTCTAAAACATGGCTCTAAACCATGGGCCACTACCCCACCATTTGGGAAATGGAATGACCCCAATAGACCATCCCCCATGTTTGCCTTAAAGGACATCCTCAAATGACTCGTTCCCACCCCCTACTCCTCGCAGCCATGGACGCAGGCCATGGGCGAAGAGATGAGCGAGCGACGCGCGCGAGTGAGCGCGTGAGCGCGTGAGCGCGGGAAGGCTGGCCAATGCTGGTGCCTTCCAAAACCAGCGAGGGCCACCCATAGGGGGTGATTTGAAAGGTTTGCTATCCCTGGCCGGGCGCCCCTTCTGCTTTCCCATTGCATTTTTGCAGAAGCAAAACATCCTTGGCCGAAAGGAAGAGAAGCCTGGGGTGGGGATGAGAGAGGTGTCGACTGAGCAGGGTGCATCCTGCGTGCCTGGAGGAAAGGAGGGTGCCAACAAATCCGTGCTTGAGTTGAGAGAATCTATCGCCTAGGCATATTTTCCTTTCTTCCGCTAATGCCCCAAGTGCTGTGTCTCGAAAACATGGCCTGCCTGCCTGCCTGCCTGCCTGCCTGCCTGCCTGCCTGCCTGTTTGCTGCCTGCCTGCCTGCCTGCCTGCCTGTTTGCTGCCTGCCTGCCTGCCTGCCTGCCTGCCTGCCTGCCTGCCTGCCTGCCTGCCTGCCTGCCTGCCTGCCTGCCTGCCTGCCTGCCTGCCTGCCTGCCTGCCTGCCTGCCTGCCTGCCTGCCTGCCTGCCTGCCTGCCTGCCTGCCTGCCTGCCTGCCTGCCTGCCTGCCTGCCTGCCTGCCTGCCTGCCTGCCTGCCTGCCTGCCTGCCTGCCTGCCTGCCTGCCTGCCTGCCTGCCTGCCTGCCTGCCTGCCTGCCTGCCTGCCTGCCTGCCTGCCTGCCTGCCTGCCTGCCTGCCTGCCTGCCTGCCTGCCTGCCTGCCTGCCTGCCTGCCTGCCTGCCTGCCTGCCTGCCTGCCTGCCTGCCTGCCTGCCTGCCTGCCTGCCCTGCCTGCCTGCCTGCCTGCCTGCCTGCCTGCCTGCCTGCCTGCCTGCCTGCCTGCCTGCCTGCCTGCCTGCCTGCCTGCCTGCCTGCCTGCCTGCCTGCCTGCCTGCCTGCCTGCCTGCCTGCCTGCCTGCCTGCCTGCCTGCCTGCCTGCCTGCCTGCCTGCCTGCCTGCCTGCCTGCCTGCCTGCCTGCCTGCCTGCCTGCCTTGCCTGCCTGCCTGCCTGCCTGCCTGCCTGCCTGCCTGCCTGCCTGCCTGCCTGCCTGCCTGCCTGCCTGCCTGCCTTGCCTGCCTGCCTGCCTGCCTGCCTGCCTGCCTGCCTGCCTGCCTGCCTGCCTGCCTGCCTGCCTGCCTGCCTGCCTGCCTGCCTGCCTGCGCCTGCCTGCCTGCCTGCCTGCCTGCCTGCCTGCCTGCCTGCCTGCCTGCCTGCCTGCCTGCCTGCCTGCCTGCCTGCCTGCCTGCCTGCCTGCCTGCCTGCCTGCCTGCCTGCCTGCCTGCCTGCCTGCCTGCCTGCCTGCCTGCCTGCCTGCCTGCCTGCCTGCCTGCCTGCCTGCCTGCCTGCCTGCCTGCCTGCCTGCCTGCCTGCCTGCCTGCCTGCCTGCCTGCCTGCCTGCCTGCCTGCCTGCCTGCCTGCCTGCCTGCCTGCCTGCCTGCCTGCCTGCCTGCCTGCCTGCCTGCCTGCCTGCCTGCCTGCCTGCCTGCCTGCCTGCCTGCCTGCCCTGCCTGCCCTGCCTGCCCTGCCTGCCCTGCCTGCCCTGCCTGCCCTGCCTGCCCTGCCTGCCCTGCCTGCCCTGCCTGCACCTGCCTGCCCTGCCTGCCCTGCCTGCCCTGCCTGCCCTGCCTGCCCTGCCTGCCCTGCCTGCCCTGCCTGCCCTGCCTGCCCTGCCTGCCCTGCCTGCCTGCCTGCCCTGCCTGCCCTGCCTGCCCTGCCTGCCCTGCCTGCCCTGCCTGCCCTGCCTGCCCTGCCTGCCCTGCCTGCCCTGCCTGCCCTGCCTGCCCTGCCTGCCCTGCCTGCCCTGCCTGCCCTGCGGCCCGCCGCCCGTTTGTGGGGTTGTTTTTCTCATTCTTCTGGGAGGTTGTGATCTGTTGGAGGGTTCTTTTTTTTTTCTTGATTGTTTTGGGGGATGTAGGGGTGTTTGTCTTCTTTACTTTTTGCTGTGGTCTCTGTGTTTTGCATTTGTTTGTTTGTTTGTTTGTTTGTTTGTTTGTTTGTTTGCCTTTTGTCTCGATTTATGTATTGATTTTATTACTATTTTGTTTTTCAGTTTCGAGGCTTGAAGCAATTTGGCATGCACCAATCTTCTATTTTGTTTTTCAGTTTCGAGGCTTGAAGCAATTTGGCATGCACCAATCTTCTTCTCTTTGTGGTTGCCATGCGCCAGAAAATCTGCCAGGGGTATTTGTTGTTTTTGGCTCGGTGTTTTGGTCCATGAAATCGAGGGCACCTGCAACGGCTCTTTTTTTACGCGGCCACAGCCGCGCCGCTCTGCCACTGTGCCTTCTGGCGGCCGCGCAAGCGATGTTGCCTCGAAAGGCACATTGTCCCTCCGCCGGATGGATCAATCGAGCCCAAGGCATGCGGATGCGGATGCGGATCTCTTGAATTGAGCCCTGTGCGGTGGCTCCCCTTCCCTTTGCTTCCCGAACCATCGGCCGACTTCTGATTTGACAGTCGGACACGGGCAGAAGCAACCAGTGAGGGTCCTGCCAAAGCCTTGATTTGAAGCACTTAAACATACCCAACGGTGATATAGAAGCGTTGAAGCCAGCTCGGATGAGAGGCGACTTTTTTTAGGCCAGAATTTCTGCTTGTTGGGCTGAGGTGTTTGCGGAGCCGGCAAGTCGGATGAATTCCTTTCTTTCAGTACAGTACGCTTTATGGATTTGCTTTTGCGGGCATGGCATCCACCGGGTTTTGGGCCTCGCTTGTCTTGCAGATGGTTCGGAAGCCGCTCTATGTGCATATGACGCGTTAGCAGTGCGCTGCTTTGCGTCCCTCCCGGACTCCCGGTCCGCGGCGCCTGGTGCCAATGGCGCCGTTTACCCAGGGCTGCTTAAAAGATACAATATGGCCCATGTGAAACATGGCTTTTTCAACACAAAAATAACGGGAAACCACCATTTACAAGTTGCAATGTTCAGGTGTATAATGTAAGGATCCCTGTTACAAGTGGCGAGCGTCCCCAGCAGCCTCCCTTGGCCCGCGCGGCCATTGCTTGTCATACGGCACCACGCAGGATGGACAGCCTCCCCCCTCACGTGTCACTGCGTAACAGGGTGGGGTTTGAAAGGGAACGCATATGAACCCGCCGATTGGCAGGGGTTCTCGTTTTTTTACGTGTGCCCAGGTTAAATTTGGGTCTGCAGACTAGGAAAGCCCCGTGTTGGATTTCAACAAAATAATTCAATGGCATCAACAACACATATGAGAGACACCCATATGGCCCATGTGGCAAGTAATGTTACTTGAGCACCACTTGTGCCGTTGGTCGCTGGGCGCCAGGGTGCTCCGTGGAATCCTTGGCCGGACATTCAACCAGAAAATCGCAGGGTTTAGTCCTTGGTTCCACTGAGCACGGTTGCATTTTGAGGTTGACCCACAGCTCATGTTTCGCAAGCTGCCTTAAAAACGGGCGACTGCCGGCATTCCCAAGTTCTCGTCTTTGAAGTTTGGACTCGCCCTTAATTTTGATGCCTCTCCCATTTTGGCCTGGATTCCTTTGGGCACGGGCATCTTAGAACCGCAGAGAAGCGTGCGCTGAGGCGCGATCAACATGCTGCTGGGTGGGGGCGGGGCATTTCGTACAGCCGCCGGGCGAGCAGGAAACTGTGTTTTTGGGTTGAAGCTTGGGTTGTTTTGGCGGCTGCTCCATTTAGCATTTTTTCTTGGAATCCATCTTCTTGGATCCAACCAGCCCCGGAGGGAAAAGAAAAAAAACATATCCAGACCGAGTAGAAGACACCTCCACCCTTCCTTGGATTGGATGTCAGGACCTCGAAGCTGGAGCCATCCACCTGGGGCATAAGTCCCGAATTTGGAGCTGCGAGGCTTACACCCGCGGCTGGTGGACATCCTCCGGGGGCGCGGAGGCTTAGAGGCCAGCGGTTCCCCAATCCGCATCCCCGAAGATGGCAGCAACGTAGTTTTTGTCACCCCTCCAAGGTTTGGGGGGCAGGGGCCAAAAGAATGAGTGCTAAAAGAATGAGTGCTGTGCAGATGTTCCAGGGGTTGCGGATGAACATTAGAATGTCCCAGTTTGAACAAGCGGAGCAGGATGTTTTGGCACTTCGTTGCCAGCCTGCTAGCCTGAGGCGCATGCAGGTGTCGCGCATTGTCTACATCAGCCGTAGCCTCGGCCACATGAAAGCAAACACAAACAAGGCTGAGGTGAGGGTGTGTGAGCTTCCTTCTACAGCTGCCCGGGGAGCGAAGAGGAAAACGGAGAAACACGCGTAAGGCCAAGGCTGGCTTTGGGATGACCAGGTTTGGGCGGCCAATGTGCACTCGTGAGGCAGCTGAATTCACCAAGCGCGCTGAAGATCCTCCTTGGCAGTGTTCGTGATGTTGTGCATATTATTGTGCATAAGGTTAAGACCAGAAAGCTAACTAGAGAGAGATAGAGAGAGAGAGAGAGAGATCCCTTAACAAGCCGGTTACAATGCGAAGTCGCCGGGCCATCTCAACACCTGAGGCTGCAATGCTGAGAGCATGGCAGAGGAGCTGTTTGGTGCTTGGGCTCGGCTGACGGTACGTTTGGTGAGCTGCCCGGATTGTTCAACGTACGCCTAGTCGCCTTCATTTTGTTGTTGAGTGCCTTCCGGGAATTAGGGTGGTTCTAGGGTTGGCTGGTTTTGCAGTGGGATTGGCACATGCAGATCTCGGAGCCCTCCCCCGCAAGCAAAAGGCAACAACACCCTTTGTGCATGTCTTCCACGCTCTTTCGCAAACAGAACAGACATCAGGTTGATATTTATCCAACAACCCCCCAACCCTCAAGCCTCAAGCCTCAATTGAAAGTGTCAGTGCGTGAGTCGAATGGTGGGGGAGGGGGCTCACAGGATGTGGCGAAACTGGGTACCTCGACGGAGGCACGGCAGGGGGAGAGGCCACCAGCCACCAGTCTTGCAACGCCATGGTCAAAGGACCCCTCTGGGTAGGGACAGTCATGGCACCCTCAGGGATGTTGGCCAACCACAGCTCCCTCCGATCAAGGGAGCTTTGTGGCCCATGGAAGGGGCTTTTGACCACGGCCCCGTTCAGCGCGCAAAGGCGATTAACACAACCTCAGCTTGAAGCATTCGGGTCACCCAAGCAAGGGTGGCAAGCGCCCGCTTGGTCGGAATCGGTGGATGAATCCCCTTTTTCACCAAACCCCAAGGTCACAGGGTCCAAGCAACCCCTCCCGACCTCCGGGGCTCGTGGCTTCTTGGCTTTGGGATCGGATCGAGCCAGGAGGAGGCGGACGACTTTGTTCCTACGCGGACCGTGGCGGTGGACTCCTTCCCCCAAACGGTGCACGTGGAGGCGGGCGGTTTTTCTCGGAGTCTTTCCAGCGGCCGGTGAAAAGAAAGGGATCTGGATCCTGCCAAGAGGTCGTGAAAACCCATCCGTGTGAAGAATTCGGGGGGTGAGGTCAGTGAGGGCACCCAGATCATGTTTGGGAAGTGTTCAAGGCATAAGGGCCCGGAAACTCCACGTGAACCAGCAACTGACGGAGGTGTGTCAAGTGCCACAAGCCTTGCCAGGGGATGCATCTTACTTGAGACGTTCAATCACACTGGGGCGCTTTGCAACGGTTCACCCGCTTTTTCCCCTTGCCTTGTTTGAGGCGCCAGGATCTCGATGTTGCTGGACTCTTCAAAAGTTTACAGGTGTTTCGTAGAATTCCTACCTCGTATGACATGGGTATGGGTCAAAGACCGCAGCTTTAGTCCATGTTTCCATTTCCCAGGGCAACCTATGTTGGATTGTGTTTGACCCACAGCCATATGACTTTTGCTGTATGATCTTGGTGTTATAACATGTTTGTTGAAGAAATCTACCCTCCCGCCAATGAACATGGAACCTGACAGAGCCCTGGAAGACCATTCTGTCAGGTTCCATGTGAATTGGTGGCGGGGGGGGGGTCTGACCCATGCTTTCAGGCCATCCAGCTTCTGGAGCGAGCCTCCCGAGTGCCGGACCCCAGGCGGGAGGGATCTGGCGACTTCGGTTGGATGTACGGTGGGTGGGTTTTTGCCCGTCTTGAGCTGGTCGAGCTGGGGCATTCTTGAATGGAACCGGGCTGGAGTTCGATTCCATGGGGGAATTCGCAAAACGGTTCCATCTGAATTTGTAGGGGAATGATTCCCCTTCAGGCTTCCTAAAGGAATGGCCCGCCTTTCCACCGGCTCGATCCCCTTCGAAGGACGAAAGCGCCGCCGGCCGCTGCTTGAGCAGGAAAACAGCTGCGCGCATGGGCGGTCCCGAAACGTCAGGAGTGAGGTGTGGAGAAGGAAGGTCCTGGGGCTTTTTAGTAAGGGTTTCAAAGGTTTCAGCAGAAGAAGCCAGCCAAGTAGTTCCTCCGAAATGTTTACCCTCAGGCATGGGATGCAAGCTTCATGATATGGAGTCAGCAAAGCGTGCAAAACATACTTGCCAACCTGCCACCCGTGCCTTCTAACAGCAACATTTTTTCTCACCGAACCCGCGCACGCAACTTATTCTCAATTGGCTCATGTTGGGTTCCTGCCTGCTTGCGGGTTCACGTATTTTCAGGAAGACGTGCCTTTATTGATGCAACCTGCCCGCTGTTTGTGGCCCAATCAGCCTCCCGAGTCCTGTCCCGGGTGCTGTGGCTTGGGGTTTTTGCCCCCAAAGTCAGCCATGGCAGCCTCAGCGGCGACGTCGCTTGGCAGCAGCCGCCGATGCTTTGTTCCCACGCAGATCGAACGAACGCCAGTGGCCCCATTCGCAAAAGCCAAGCACATTTTTGGCTGGAGAATGGCTCGGAGTTGAACCCAATCTCAGAGATTCTGGGCGATGACCCCCAAATGCATTGGAAGGGGCCGGAACCCGTACCCCCGTACCCGCAATGAAGAACCAACCACTTTCCAGTTATTTTCTTTTTTGTGGGCAGGGAGAAATTGTACCAAGGTGGTTTCGGGTGGTTTCGGGTGGCTTCGGGTGGTTTGGCGCAGCCGGCGCCGAGGTCGCAGCATCAAAAGATCCTCGCCGCCTTCCGGAGCGCCCTGCCTGACACCAATGACCTCACGGAAGCCCAGGCGCGTGCGCGTCATCCCGAGCTTCGGAAAGGAGCTGGCGGAAGCAAGCAGGCAGGCAGGCAGGCAGGCAGGCAGGCAGGCAGGCAGGCAGGCAGGCAGGCAGGCAGGCAGGCAGGCAGGCAGGCAGGCAGGCAGGCAGGCAGGCAGGCGGGGGCAGGCGGGCAAGCAAGTAGGAGTAAGTAGGAAGTAAGAGTAAGCAAGGGCAAGCTAGCGTAAGTAAGCGTAAGTAAGAGTACGTAGAGTAAGCAAGCAAGTAAACAAGCAAGTTGAGGGCACCCTCTTTTTGTCTATGGTTGACAGGGAAGTCATTGGGAAATCGCAGTGTTTGTGGGGCTGCCTTATTTCGAGACAACCCGGGTGGGTGAAGGGCACCGGAGGAAGTGAGGTGAGGGAGGACCGCCTACCAACGCGTCAAGCGACATGCGGCCGTTTCCTGGAAGCCTAAGCCAGCACCTCCCGACTTCTCGCGCCTACCTTCCGGGGTTGAAAAGAGAAGGCGCCAAGAAGCTGTCGCCATCATCAACGGGGCAGCCGGCCTCAACTAGGAGCAGCTTCTTTCGCTCGCCTTTTCTTCTCCGTCGCTGGGGCGGGGGCGGTGCCATGATTTGCCACAGGTGAAGATCCTTCTGAAGGCCCTGGGCGTGGAATTGACGGAAGAGCCGCGGGGCTTAGGACATGGGCGGCAGGTTTTTGTTCTTTCTTTTTTTCCTCTTGTGCCAGCGATGCCATGGCGAAGGGTGCGGGCCCGGATTGTAAGTGAGAAGGTTTGCATGTTGCTGCCATGTTGTGTTGCATTCCCTTTTTTCCCCCTCAGCTTGTCAGGCAACTTCTGATTTTGTGGTGTTTGCACCTGCGCCCCCTGAGTGGGGGACCCGAAGACCCATCAAAGTGCCGAATGATGATGGTGGCTCCGATGCGCAGAGGGCTTCCCCCCTTTTTTTCCCTCGTTTTTGTTTGTTTTCAAGGGGTCACCTCAGCCAGGATTTGGGCACCACTAGCGGTTAGTTCCCCGAAGGTTGCCCAAGCCGTCAATTACTTCACAGCTCACTCGCCGCCTGGCGTTTGCCAGTTGAGCGACAGTCACTGTGTGCATGAAGGTCAGCAGGAGAACCTGTTTCTTATTTGTTTAAGGTTAGACCGGGCTTGAATGGAACTGCGACGCAATCAGCAACCATTGTTGCAGATGGCGGTGGGCGAACACTTTAGCCATGCATTGGTGCAGAACATGCAACTTGGCGTTTTGACTGACTTGGTTGCACGCCGGGTCTCGCCAAGTCGTTGAATTGAGCGCACCAGGAAACCTGAAACACTGGTATACGCTGATGGGCCATGACAACACACCATTCCCCCGAGCAGTTTGCAATAAGTCAATAAGTGGAATCGGTAGGTTCTTCAGCTGGGCGCCACCCTTTGCCTGCCCATGTTGAGTTTCTTTCCCTCAATGAACTAAGAGAACCTTTTGCCGGGGCTTCGCTTTTGTCCGCCGGGCTAGCCATTGCCGCGACTCCGGCGGCGGGGTGGCACGTCCGAGGCGGCTCCGCTCCATGGTTACGGCGGCCTCCAACGGCAGCGGCAAGGCGACTCGGCCACATGCTTAAACCCGCCAAAAGCGGGCACGCAGGGAACCCCTTTTTGGGGGGGGGGAGGGAGCAGCTGGAATTGGGCTGGAGAGCTTGACAAGCGAAGCAGGCGTGAGGCGTTCTCTTTCTAGCGGGCTCGCACCCCGTGTTTGGCCCGGATCAGCGCAGTTGCAGGTGCGGGAGGGTGCACCTAAACCGCCATTGGCCAATTGAACACTTCATGCATAACTACACAATTCCCCAGTTTGTGCGCGATTGAATTCGGCGCAGACGACGATGTGTCACGTTGGTTTAGGAAGAGTTGACGAATGCTTTGGTTGGGTGTGTGTGAGTGTGTGGCCGTGATTTAGGTTGTCCACGCGCTGGCAGGTCACCTATGAGCAATTCATCTCCTGGATGTTTGGCTGCTGGGGCCTTGAGTGTGGGGCCACTGGCGCAGGCACATGCATATACACAATCGCTGAACACACTTGCGGTAGAAAGTAGTTTAATGCTGTGTGGATCTTTCCTTCATCTTACGTTGATTCCTCTTCTTGAAGAAGAGTCTTCTGACTCCTCGAAGGATTTCGCGAATGTTCATGCCCATCAGCCCAATCCTGCGTGCGCGAGGTCAGGAAGAAGCAAAGAGGGAGGCCACGCCGCCGAGCAAGCCCAAGCCCTTGCAGACGCAGAAGCTGCAGCCTCAGTGCCGAGTTTCAACTCCTTCGAACATGAATGAGGCTTAGTCGGGGACAATCCCACCCATAGAAGGGATTTAGTGAATTCCATATGCCTGAGGTTTTGCTTAATTTAAACATCCTCTTGTGATTGCCAATTGAAGTGAGTGAGCCTCTGATTGGTGTGACGTTTGAATGCGAGTGATCCTAGCTTGCCTTTTTGTAAAGAGTAAATTGATATCCTGCATGGGCTTGGGGGGGGGTCCAGCAAGCAAATGAACCGCAAAGTCCTTCGGACCTAGTTTGCCTTGCGATGCTTTCACTTTCCGGACGGCGAAAGTTGAATGGTTGCAAGGTATCAGCTCAGAGAGCGACTCAGAGAGTGGTGTGATGGGCTTGCTGAGTCAGGGATCCCAATCCTTTGGGTGGTGCCTAGGGGTATCCCAGTCGCAGGAGCCAGCACATCATAGAGGCCACAGTGATGACTCAGCTCGCGCGGCTCGGTGGCACAAATGCGAGCTCGAGGCCGAGCTGGATGCAGAATAAATCAAAGGTTGGTTTCTCCCCCCCCACCAAAAAAAGAAGAACAACACAAACAAACAAGAACAAAAACAAAACAACAGCAACACATGGAAGGAACCTAAAACGGGGTCTGGTCCCCAAAATGATCCCAAACCTTCTCGAAAACGCAGGAGAGCATCTAGGCCTGCCCCACCCCTTGAAAGATGGAGTTGGGTGCCTGGCGAGAGACGGGGGGTAAAAGGAATTGGGGACCAGGTTTTCTGGTGGGGTTGGGGGGGAGGGAGTGGGTAGGTGGGGCTACTCGAAGGTTTGCCCACTTCAACCCCTGACTTCTTTTCGGCCACTCGCGAGTGGCCGGGAGAGGGCGGGAGGAAGGGGTTGCAGGGCTTTTCCAAGCACACCAGGGAGAAGCAAATCAGGATGTTATCTCTACTCATCAGCAGGCCGTCAAACCATCGCAAAGAGTGGCCGGTAGCATTCATAGTTCAGTGAAGGAAGCATTTGCAACGCCACACCCAAACCAAGCTAAAGTCCGCATCACAGTTTTGGTGAGGGAGCGTTTCTTTTTTGTTTTGACGCAATCCCTATTGGGGGCTGCAAAAGGACCAACCAAATATGCGAGAGGCTCCCATTAATATGAGACAAACCAAGGGTCTTTTTCAAATCGAAGCATTCCACCGGTGCGTAAGGAAGCTCGTGGAGCTACATCCCTACGTGCTTGGGCGGCACGAGTTGCGGGTTCAGAGCGGGGCATTCTGCGTCTGTATGGATTGCGGGTGTTTAATTCTCCTTCCTCCAGGGCTTACCAACACACGCCGGGGTAGATGCTTCTAGTTTGTCTGCATCTAGATGTTGACAGATGCATACACATACACACGTGTGCATGTGTACATGTAACCGATATTAGAAGTAATATACACATTCCATAGTATTACCCATAGCACCTGGCGCTGCCGCCCCAGACGGCTTTTGGTGGATGGCTCTCACTCGGACCCCTTTTCGTGTGTCGACAGGGCAAATCGCACCTGCATCATTCTTGCGCTGGGAGCGCCTTGGTCAATGTATGCAGCTGCTTGCATTGGATATGACGGTGATAGTGAATGGCTTCCGCCCCCGAGCAGGAATGGCTGACGGTGCACCATATGTCTTGAGCGTACAACTCTACATGGGCAGATTTACCACAGTCTTCCTAGATTCCTTGTTTGTAGTTTTGTCTTCTTCTTTTTTTTCTCCAAGGGTACCTGTACTTGGGCGATCCATGAAGCTATACAGACCCGGTCGCTTGTTCACGTCTTCTGTTTCCTGCTGTTCCGAAGCTGGGACGCAATCTGTTTTTGGAATGGAAACCAACCAGATCTGGTGGTCCTGCCCCTACCATGTTTTTATGCCGCACTCATTCCAGGGCGTTTGGCGACCTTTATTTGGGCAGACCCTAAGATGAGGCAACCTCGCCTGTGAAAGTTGGTGTTGGATCGGGAGACCAAGATCAAGCTTCTTCAAGAGTTGGCAGTGTTGCCGGCGTTTTG